CTTGCGTAATTAGCAGATAACAGGTAGACAAAGAAGCACCCTCCGGTGGTCTTGGTATCCGGCACGCGGAGCACGTTGCACGGTTTTACAAAGTTGTCGGGTGCGATGCGAGAATAACGAGTCTGCCTCGGTTGCTGCCTCTCTGATTTAAAAATAATTCTATACGTTTACGCGTACGAGAGACGGTCCAGGCGGTCGGTCGCTGTCTCGGTCGCTCGACGATCGTTCGAACGAACTTTGGACGGCGAAAAACCGTCCAGAGAAAACGTTGAAGCGCCGGCTGGCACGGTAGAGTCGTCCAAAGCCTAAACCCCGACCGTTCGACAGAGTTCGATGATCGTTTAGACTTTGGAACGAGAAGGTAGGGGATCGAGCGTGCCTGTCTCGACGATCGACGACGACTCGATCGGATCGTGGGAGTCGGGAGTCCGCCGTTTGCGCGAGTCCGTGATTACCGGGCCGTTTGGTCCGCGCGGCAGAATCCGATTAGACGATTTAAAATCGACGAGAGCCTCGTCCGCCGACCGGTGGACGTTCGGGGAGGACGCAGGGTGGTTGGTCGCCGCAGGGATGCGAATCAAAGGGGGCAGAGAGGGATGGGGAACGTCGCGACGCGATGCGAGACGAACGGACGGACGGACGTGCGACCGGATGGCTGCTCGCAATTACCATTCATTACTTTGTTGGGGCCAATTGACATAACTGATTGGTATTCGGCTACCGCGCCACCCTCAAAGGACCCTCGACTCCTGGGAGGGGGCTAATGCAGTTAGCAGCGCGAACAGAGTTACACACGCTCGCGTCGCGGTCGGATTTGTCGATGGGCCGTGTAACAATGCAGCCGTCTCCTTTCTTTTTTTTATCTCGTTTCTCTCTTTTTCCCGTACGGTTCTCCGGTACGAGAACCGCTCCGGCGTCGACGGCAGCTCGTTGCTTCTTTTTTCATTCGCTTTATTTTCTTTTTTCGTTGCCGCGGCCGATGGCCGATGCTCGCGGAACGTTCGCGCGGGCGGTACGCGGCGAACCGTTTGGATTTTTTGAACAAATGGGGGATCGACCGATCGGCGAGTCGTGTCTTTGGAAAGCTCGGGCGAGGCAAGTTGCGCGAGCAAGACGAGTCGAGTCGGTCTTCTCGAAGACCGCCGCGTAAATACTGTTTTAGCCGGAACAAAGTCCGCGCCTTTGTAATTTAACGCAGGGAAAGATCAAAGGAACGGAATCCTTTATTCCGGTAAAAACCGTCGCGCGGCTTCGTTCCGAGACGGTCGTTAACGTTTCCGACGAATCGTCGAACGTCGCGACGAGACGCGACGCGACGCGACGGTGCGTTCGAAACAAAAGTTACCGGGCAGACCCGCCTCTCGCTCTTCGCCGCCGTTTATGATAATTAAATGACACGCTATTAACCATAAAAGCGTCGCAACGACAATACGGAACGTTGCTGAAAGTTACTTTACGACATTACGCGACGAGTCGATGCTCGCCGACTGATAACGTTTTAACGCGATAGGAAAGTTCGTTAACAGGTTGCAAGCGAGTTTCCCCGGAGCGAACAAAGCCTCGTTGACAAACTGCCCGGCTGCGAAAAACGAAATTGTATCGCGCGTCGCGTCGCGTCGTTGCGGGCCGATCCGTTCCGCTTGTACCGCTTGTACCGCTTGTTCCGTAATGCCGCGGTAAAACGAATCGTCTTCGTCGCAACGTTTTCGACCGTTCGGCTAATTAACGCTTCGATCGCCGCGCGAGTACGTAATTGCTACGCGTCGTGGGACCGAGGAAATTTACGGACGTAAAAAACGTAATTCCAAGCCTCTCGGCGACGCGTGTACCGCGCTTGTACCTACCGCGCGCTTCCGCCGAGAGTTTGCACCGAGTTTTCCGTTCTCGACGTTATCCGAATAATCGTATTTGAGATTTCAGGGAGTTCGGACACGGTAACAACTCCCTGTTCGGCCAGCGAAAATCTAATAATTCTTTGGCCGGGGAAAAAAGTGGCGGCGGTTAAGTCGACGCGTTAAAAATATTCTCGGGGCTCTTATCGGCTCGGTGAAATCGAACGGGGCGAGCATGGAAGCGACCCCGTAAAAAATGAAGCGGCCAACGGCGCGGCGAAATCGAGTTTCATTAATAAACACGGTTCGCGCGCGATACGATCGCGAGAAATCACCCGCGCGTTTTATTAGCTATCGCGCCTCCCCCGGGAGCGCCTGATGAATTGAAAAAATAAATTTGCACGCCCGCGGCGAACCGACGCCGAACCGACGCCGGCTGCGAAACTCTTTGCCCTGTAACGGACAATGTTCGAGGTTGTTTACCGCGTTCCGTTATCGTTGCAACCGAAAACCCTAGCGCGAATCGATCGCCGCAGACTCCGGAGGCTCGCGAATATATTTTTCCACGGGGAGAACTTGGGCGAGCTCGCGCGCACGCGGGTATTAAAATCTTCGGAGTGCATTAGAAGAGATGACACGAAAATTGGAGGGAAAATTCGTTGCACGACGGGATCGCAAACTCGCGAAGAACTCCGACAGGAGTTGCGAACTTTGCGGAGCATGCGAGCCACGGTGGTCGTCCTCTCTCCGCTCGGCGGCTCCTCTGCTCGCCTGCTCGTCCGCGAGAAAAAGATAGTAGGAGGAGGAAACCGGCTGCTAATCGATCGTTAAAGCCGGGGACACTCTGGATCGAGGCGGCGGCGGCGGCGGCATCTCGGTTATTTTGTTCCTTATTTTGTTTCGTGTACAAAAGCGGAATCGGCGCGACTCAAATTTTTCGATATTTCAACGACCGCTCGGGGAGAAACGCTAAAATGCAACGTACGCGAATCATTCTTGCGACAAGTTATATACGTCGACTACCTTTTTATCAAATTCGCTACCTCCGAATCGCGAACCCCGAATTCCGAGCCCCGTACCCCGTATCGTCGATCAAACTCTTCTATCCCGACGGCGTCCTTTCCTCCCGACCGGTTGAAAAAACAGACCGGCCGTTTGTTTTGCAAAAGTCCGTCGCATCGGCTCCCTGCAGCGTCGTTCCGATTTCTGATTCTGATGGACGCCGGAGCCAGAAATCATTAAAACTTCCCGAACCAGCCCTGCGGAGCGATGTCAAACGAAGGAAGGCCAAGAATATATGTCTACCACGAACTTTCCTCTTGAACGCGACTCTTGGCTTTGCTCCTCCCTCTCTCTCTCTCTCTCTCTCTCTCTCTCATTCTCTTCCCTTTTTCCTCTTTCCTCTCCCCTCTCCTCTTCGTCTGTCAGCCAACGTGCTCGAAACTCTTCGTCTTCCTGACTAAGCGGTAACTCAGGGTTCGATGTCCGCCAAAACGGCGAGTTAACTGATAAATAGCAGCTAATGCTTTACCGAATTTTCCGGTTCGAATGGATCGCGCGAGTGAAACGCTTCGGTTGCAAAAAAGAAAAATAAAACGAAACACGCGACCGATAAAGGGGAACGCGCTCATCGAAAATTAATCAGGAACGAGCGCGAGAACGGTGAAACCGCTCTAAAAAGCTCGCGTGGACGCGCGGAAGAGAGAAATGGAGAGAGATAGGAAGAGAGAGAAAAAGAGTGGATAATGTTCGAAAATGTGCGTCGAGCCTCTGTCGGCGTAGATAATCGAGCCGGTGGATGTTAAAAAAAAAGCCACCGGGGAACTTTATCCGCGACATGAATACTAATTGGCGGACGGGACGGGGTGCTCCGCGGGCGCGGGCGCGAGCGTTTCGGATCGGTCGTAACGCGAAGCGCCCAGCGCGCAGCCTCGCGACGCGACGGTCGCACTTTTGCGAAAGCTCGCCTAATTCGACCCGATGTCATTAGCGTCTGTGATTCGCCGATAAATTATTCAGGGTAATTGGATTCGGGCCAGGCATAAAATCCACCGAGCGAAATCGTCCAACGAGGCCTCTGGCGCGCGGGCGAGCGCTCGATCGGGATGCGGAGGTGAACGGTGCCGGGAATTCGCAACCCTCGCGGGAAACGTTTCGCACGCGGACAAATAGGGGAGAACAATCAGGATCGGTGTTCGCTATTTACCGATATGACAGTAGCTTATCGTCCGGCTGTGCCGAAGGCAACGTTGAATCCTGTGAAATGCGTGGGAGCACGTGCTGAGCGGTAATCGTCAAGCTGGATTAGGTGAAACTGGATTCGGAGCTGAAAATTGAGCCACGGATGGAGTATTAGGGACGCCCTGCGCGCGTCACCGCGATCTCTCTCTCTCTCTCTCTCTCTCTCTCTCCCTCTCCCTCTCCCTCTCCCTTCCCTTCGTTCATCGCACACCCTTGTTAAATTTCGTTCGATCGGGATAAATCGCGGAAATATAAATTTTTGCAAATGCATCGGGGTGCCGTATGCACTGCGGAATCTTCGGTGTTGCAACCGTTTCGCGATCGATCGCGAAATCCGGATCGAACATAGAATTCTCGAAATAATTGATTTCGAATCTTTTCGTTTGCCGGCATTTCGATCGTAACAGCTTCGTGATTTTGCAGAGTTCCGACATCGGATATTTTTTGCTCGGCAATTATGGTTGAGTTACATCCGCGCTGGAAACTTTCGGCTGCAGTTACGTTTGGGTAACTTATAGGCGACAGTTTCATCGTTAAAACTTATAATGCGGAGGTATTAATAAAAGACGACGCGTACAGGGGCGAGGTTGAATTTCACGACTCCGAGGCGTCGTTGAACGTTGCTGCATCGTTTCGAAGAATAACTTACGCTTCGTTACATTCGTTTACGTTCAATGGGCGATTAAACGTTAAACGTCGGAATAAACGTCCATGGTTTCGGACTCGAGATTACGTTCGTTCGACGCCGGTTTTCAGTTTCGAGTTGCAGCAATTCCGAAGACTTTCTTAAGACGCGATCGCGTAAAGAAATCGTCGATATCGGGCCGACTCGATTTTCTAAATACTTGGGCCGACTGCTGTACCGAAGCAATCTCGACGTAACCGAAGTCGACGAATATAATAATAGGACATAATCGACTGTTGCAGGAACGGTGCGTCGGTCGGCCAGCCACCCGGTTGACGAAGCCAAGGATAACCGGCAACGAATAGGATACGCGTCGACAGGAGGGAGGTGAGTCGAGCTATTTTTAATTGTTCGACGGTGCACGCTCGTTACGTGTTTCGATTTTATGATAATGTTGCCCCTCCTCGCTAACTAACGAGCCAACGTTCGACGCCCGATAACCGTCCCAACGAGCAATAGCAATAGAGAGAGAGAGAGAGAGAGAGAGAGAGAGAGGGAGAGAAGGGGGGGGGGGGTTTTACTCGCGCGACGCCCTCGAGAATCGATTGCCAGTCGGAGGCGTTTCGGTATTGTGCGAATTAATTGGAGTATCGCGGCCGAAAAGCTCGCTGTTTTTCTTCGGGCTCCGGCGGCGCCATTTTCGCCGAATTTATTTGCGAGTGGTAATTGCGCGGCTCCGGAACGACGAGACGAAAAGGGCAAAAATAGAAGGAGAAGAGAGAGGGAATCGGTGCCCCCCGGGCAAGGACCTTTCGAAGGTCGCGAAGAAGACGGAGAAGATGAACCGTCGGGGGTGGGTCTGTAGCGGGGGTTGTTTGCGAAAATTCACGGTTCGCGGTTCACGGTTCACGGTTCACGGGACTGAAAGGAAGGAAACAGGCGTCGAAAGCGGCCAAGCAAACAGAGAAACACGGCCACGCGCCGGAGCCGGCTTCGGAGTCGGAGTCGGAGTCGGAGCCGGAAGCCGTGGCACCGGCACCGGCACCGGCACCGGGAGACCGCGAATTAATTAAGAGCTGCGAGTTACCGCCGCGCGGCAAATAAGACCAAACTACCCCGAACTTCCGCCGTCAAAATATTCGGTACGGATTACTGGATACTGGATGTTAGCAGGCAAGGGCCCTGGAATCCCGGGCTACAAATAGTCGCAGGAATGCTTTGCCGTGCCCCTTCTCTGCTCCGAATCGGAAAGGAACTGGGAACCGAGAACCGACAATGAGACGAGCGCGTACCTCGCGGCAGACGATGCGGATTTCGAATGCGCGATTCGGTGCCGAAAGCGTTGCCCTGTCTCGATAATTGTCCGAATCCGGTTCGCGAAACGTACAATCGCGGTGACGGGACAAGGTACTCTTCGAGGCTTTCCGAATGCATGGTTTGTGTNAGGGAGAGAAGGGGGGAGGGGGTTTTACTCGCGCGACGCCCTCGAGAATCGATTGCCAGTCGGAGGCGTTTCGGTATTGTGCGAATTAATTGGAGTATCGCGGCCGAAAAGCTCGCTGTTTTTCTTCGGGCTCCGGCGGCGCCATTTTCGCCGAATTTATTTGCGAGTGGTAATTGCGCGGCTCCGGAACGACGAGACGAAAAGGGCAAAAATAGAAGGAGAAGAGAGAGGGAATCGGTGCCCCCCGGGCAAGGACCTTTCGAAGGTCGCGAAGAAGACGGAGAAGATGAACCGTCGGGGGTGGGTCTGTAGCGGGGGTTGTTTGCGAAAATTCACGGTTCGCGGTTCACGGTTCACGGTTCACGGGACTGAAAGGAAGGAAACAGGCGTCGAAAGCGGCCAAGCAAACAGAGAAACACGGCCACGCGCCGGAGCCGGCTTCGGAGTCGGAGTCGGAGTCGGAGCCGGAAGCCGTGGCACCGGCACCGGCACCGGCACCGGGAGACCGCGAATTAATTAAGAGCTGCGAGTTACCGCCGCGCGGCAAATAAGACCAAACTACCCCGAACTTCCGCCGTCAAAATATTCGGTACGGATTACTGGATACTGGATGTTAGCAGGCAAGGGCCCTGGAATCCCGGGCTACAAATAGTCGCAGGAATGCTTTGCCGTGCCCCTTCTCTGCTCCGAATCGGAAAGGAACTGGGAACCGAGAACCGACAATGAGACGAGCGCGTACCTCGCGGCAGACGATGCGGATTTCGAATGCGCGATTCGGTGCCGAAAGCGTTGCCCTGTCTCGATAATTGTCCGAATCCGGTTCGCGAAACGTACAATCGCGGTGACGGGACAAGGTACTCTTCGAGGCTTTCCGAATGCATGGTTTGTGTTTCGAGCGACGGTATTTAGTATTCGGTTGTACCGAGTCGTTGGGGGGACGCGGCAGTCTGTTTCGTAAGTTACGCGGCAATGGGTGATCGGTGATCGGCCGGCCAGGACCGGTTCGAGCGAGCAACGGAACGGAACGGATCGGAGCCGGCGATGCTCGTAAATCAGCAGCCGGCGAACTCGAGCGTCGCGTACCGTATCGCGCGCGAGTGCAGTTCCTCGAAATTTTCCGGTCTCTTCGAGCCGACCGAACAGCATCGTTTGGCCGTCCTCGGAAGACGCGCATCGCGCCCGCGGAAATTCTCAAGTTTTCACGCAGACAGCCCCGACTATGCGGGCCGGTGCGGCGTGCACCAATCACGTTGAGTGCACATTCTTCAACCTATCCTGCTGTCCCTCGTTCCCCGTTATTTCTCTTCCTCTTTCAGACGTCGTCGGAGACCACTCGGAAAGGATGCGCTCGCGCTCCCGCTCGCGCTCCCGTTTCCGCTACCGCGCGGCATCGACTTCGTTTCCGTACACGCGACAAACCTGCATTCGGAGCGTGCTCGAGACTCGGCGAGCTTCGACGCGCTCCTCCGCGATCGCGTCACGCTTATGATTAAACACGATCGGATATACGTCTCACTTTTATAATTGGCTACAGGTATACAGGCATACAGGTATCACGGTGGAAGCATTGTGAACATTTGTTCGCATCGTCGCAGCCCGGTCCAACTGGTCGAATCGCTGCGCGCGACGCGTGGGGAGAATTCTGAAAAGCCGAACAAAGAAGCTCGCGGATCGATTCGATCGAACGCGACGAAGAGAATCGCGTCGAATCTTAAAATTGAGCGGTCAATAGAATCGTCGCGGCTCCAGGCAGCACGACTTTCGACGAGGCGAACGACGAGCCGGGCGACACGTTGGACGAGACGCTGGCCGTGTAAACGCGCAGGGTCGGTGGCACGACGAGGTTGGCGGCGAGGTCGACGGCGACGATTCCATCGGAGAAGTTGATCAAAAGCACTCCAACGGTTGTCCCGTATTTCCGAACGACGGCTAGAACTTGACGGGCGACGAGTTTCGCGGCCGCGTCGCCGAACTCTACCAAGGGCGTCCTCTTCAGGGCAGCCATATCTTTGAAGACGCGATAGTTCGAGAGAGGCAACGGTTTCTCCGCGGCCAGGTTCACCGTCCGATAGTTGTCGTGCACCGGCAGCCAGGTGGACCGGCTGCTGGAGAATCCGGCGCTGGTGGAGTTGTCCCATTGGAACGGCGTCCTCTCCGGGTCTCTCGACTTCAAGTGGTACCTGAGCGGTCCGGCGTTGCAGCCCGCGGGGTCCACGGTCTCGGAGTAGGTGAAATTTCGGTCCACCATGCCGATCTCGTCGCCGTTGTAGACGACGGAGACGCCGGGCAGGAACAGCGACAGCATCGTGATCTGATCGGCCCTTCGGCTACCGAACCTGGTAGCCACCCTGTGGTTGTCGTGATTGCCTACCACCCAATTGGGCACGCCCTTCAAATTCGGCGCGAGGGTCAGCCACCCGTTTATCGATCCCGCGAAATCCGCGGCCGAGGACGAGCCGTTCAAGTCGGTGATGAACGCGAAATTGAACGGAACGTTGGATCCCGCGTCGTAGTAATCGATGGTCAGATTACGGGTCGTGTAGGCCTCCGTCAGGATCAGTTTATCGTCGGTCCCCGTCGCGTTCGCGTGATCGTCGAGCAGCTTCCTCCAGGATCCCAGCACTTGGTAGGTCTCCCGTTGGTCCTTGGTGTAGAGGTGGATCAGGCTGTCGTAGTCGTCGACCGGCAAGTCCGATCGGTTCGCTCTCGGCTCGTCCAGCAGCCTGACGTCCTCGAACATGTGATTGATGGCGTCGATGCGGAATCCGTCGACTCCCCGGTCCAGCCAGAACTCGAGCACGTTCTTCATCTCCCGATCGAGCGCCTGGCTGCGGTAGTTCAAGTCCGGCTGACCCGCCGCGAACTGGTGAAGATAGTACTGCTGCCTCGTCTCGCTCCACTTCCAAGCGGAACCTTGAAAAGTGCTGAGCCAGTTGTTGGGCGGCTTCCTGGTGCCGTTCACGATCTTCCCGTCCCGCCAGACGTAGTACTCGTCGTACGGCTGACGCCTCAGCTCGCTCAAACGGAACCACGGGTGCAGGTGAGAGCTGTGGTTCGGCACAAAGTCCATCAGCACCTTCAGCCCGAGCTGCTTGGCTCGCGCCACCAGTCTGTCGAAGTCCGCCAGGGTGCCGTAATCGGGATCGACGTCCGTGAAGTTGGAGATGTCGTAGCCGAAATCGACTTGAGGACTTTTGTAAATGGGCGACAGCCAGAGAACCGTCGCCCCGATGTCGGCGACGTGCTCCAGCTTGCCGGTGATGCCGTTCAGATCGCCGATCCCGTCGCCGTTGCTGTCCTTGAAGCTTCTAGGGTAGATCTGGTACACCAAGGCGTTTCTGTGCCATCCGTGGCTGCGAACGTCGTTGGGACCGCAGCAAGCGAGTCCCACCAGACAAGCTATCGCCGTTAACCGGATCATGACGAATCTCCTACTGTGCTACCGATCTCCGGAGACCCGACCCGCGATTTTATATATAGCCGAGAGATCGACGCCGGACCTATCTACGGCCGATAAGACTTCGATAAGACGTTATCGGCGCGCTGCTCGCCGATCGACGCCGTTCGCGAAAACGTGGAAATGTTTTCAAGTTGTTTATCGCTTTCGATGTAATATGCCCGACCTTGGCGAACGTATCGCCGTGGAAAATCCGAGAATCTTTTCCTTTCTCGTTCTCTTTCTCTTTCTCTTTCTCTTTTCCTTTCTCGTACTCGTTCTCTTTCTCTTTCTACGGAGAACGATCGACGACCGGGCCACGTCGAGACAGCCGTAAAAACCGAAATACGTCTCGCATCGTGTGTCGCGTCCGTTGCGTTGGATCCGATTCCTCGGTTGCCGCAAAGTCCGTGCCCAAAGTCCGTGGACTGTACGCGGGTTTACCGGGTGGCGACACCCCCAGGAGGGTTTAATGCACCGCAAGGCGTGCAACGTTCGTCCCCGATAAGATTGTTCGAGGCGCGCGGCCACTTGGGAAATGGTAAACACCTAAGCCCGCACGATCTCGCGTGTTCGCCGCGTTTATGCGTGCCGCCCTCGTAACTGCTATCGCGGCCGTGGCTAATTATACAGTTGGCCACCGCCGTGCCTCGTCGCACCGGACCAGTTTCTTGCTTCCTGGATACCGGCGACCGCCGACCGCCGACCGCCGACCAGCGCCAATTTAAGGCTCGCACGAGCCTCCGCACCCGCCGCGACGAATAATTTCGCCATTCGTCAACCGACCGACCGACGCCGAGCCGCGCGCGCCGTCCGCTCCGATAAACGAGAATCCTCGCGCCCTCGAGCACCAGCCGCTCCACAATTTTTCCAAAGTCCCTACGTAAAACGACCGCGCAACGTCCATTTCTCTCTATCCGGTCTTCCCTTCGGGGCTGTTATTCTCGTTCCGAGTCCGAAAGTAATCGCGATTTTGATTTCCTTCGGAGATCGTTGCTTCTATTCTCACGACCCGAAAGTATCGGTACAAATGCTTCGGAAAATTTCAAGAAGCCGCCAAAATATTTCGATAAATGTAACCGGCGGTCGCTCCCCGGTTCTTTTTCCCTTTCCGCCGGGTGTAATCGAATCGCTTCTCATTGGCTCGATCGACCCGGCCCGAAAAAGAGAAACTGTGATCGAATCGAATCGAATCGAATCGAATAGAATCGAATCGAATCCGGGCTGCGGACTTCGTCCACTGTTCAGCGAGGAAGAAACTAGCCCGCGTATGGATCCCTGCGTGCAATCGAACTACGGCAGAAAAAAAAAGAACAAAATCGTTTCGCTGGTCGTATGGAAGCGTATTTCCTGCCTCGTATTCCATTACGCGGCGTGGGCGGCTCGCTTTTTTTTCGGCCGGCCGGCGCGAAAACATATTTTTGCGAGCGTTTCACGGGGGAAAAAGGCCTTTGGGAGCACGCGCTTTCTCGATGCGATCGAGAATACCGACGATCGACAGACGATCGACCGACGACGCGATACCCTTCGCCGTGCTTCGGGTCGTTCGCGAGCTCGATGAGAATTATCGGCGTTTTATCCATCGGTGGAAAATTTTCGATGAATCGCTTCGATCCTGTCGCGCCGCCTCGCGACGAGTCGAAAAACGACACGGGATCTCCGCGGTCTCTCTCGCGAATCGATGGTGCTCGTCCGATACCATTGTTCTTTCCGACGAAAGGATAACGAGTCCGATTCATAAAATCGCGGGATTTCGGTTTAGAGTTCGGGAACAGATTCCGAACCGAGTCGTCGTTAAACGCGGATTTATTTTTCATTCGAACGATCGAATCCGTTGTACGTTGGCTAAATTGAATCGGACTCCGTTTCGGATTTCGTTTCGCGAACGATAAACGTCGATCCGCGTTTGCGATCGGAGATCCACGCTTCGAAAAATCGAACCGAAACGGCGTCGTGGCTCGGTAGCGAATATAATAAATTTCCAGCGATAATAGCGGAGAACGATAAAACGTGGGGCGAGGTGGTTCCGTTCCGTTCCGTTCCGTTCCGTTTCGTTCCGTTCCGTTCCGTTCTGTTTCGCGCGACAACACTTGGCTCCGCGATGATTTACAGCCGAAGACGCGCACGGATCCGCGGCACGGGGCTGCGAAGGGAGACCAACGCGATAACAGGGCGTGCGTAGGGACGCTCGCGCCGCGCAACAGGAACAAAGTTTCGTACGAACCCGGGCATTATTTATGCGCGTAATTTTCTTCTCGGCTTATTGCGAACTGCATTCGTTCATTGTTCGCGGCCGCGACGAGGACAATTTCACCGAAACAATGAATTATTCATGCTATAAACATTCGCCGCTCTCCGTTATCGGTCTTCCTCCGGCGTGCTTCCGGTTCTCCAGCCAAAACTCGCGATAGAAACTGCCCTCCCTTTTTAACCCTCCACCGACGAAAACGTTCCCGCACGCTCCGTCGGACAATCGCTGATTCGATTCCGTGGATCGTGGTCGATCGCGCGTCGAGACGCATGAAACACCCGTAAGCCGCGACGCTCGCGTCAATTTCCATTACCGCGGCCCCTCGAAATATTTCCGATCCCCTTTCCTTCGCTCCGTTCGAATTCGGTTCTCCTCGTTCGTTTAAAATACGAAGACGGCAAAGACGTTGGAAGAATTTCGGAATCGCGAGTCAAGAGCAAAGAACGAACAAGGACGATTCGAGGCGAGGGCGCTAAAGCGCGCGGCAATCTCCCTATCAAATCGTCCTTCTTTATTTCCAGCGGGCGAACGTCGTCGCTCCGCGCCGCGTCGGATCGAGCGAACTTTTACGATTCCGTTTACCAGGTTGCGGCCGACCGCGTTTCCCGTTTGGCTTTCCCGGTATAACCGAATAGCCGTCCTTTAGATTCCAACGGCCGAAACGAAGGACGCGTTGTACGGCGCGGTTTTCGCAGGCTGGTCGTGGACGAGACACCTTAACTTAATTTTCACGGATTCGCTAAAGGTGGATCGTGACGGGTTGCCAGCGGGTGATTTCAACGATGCGCGATCGTTTCGAAAAGAGCAACGGGAACGTTCGGTCAGCCAGCCGCAACGTGGCATGCAACGCAACGCGACACGCAACGTAACGCGACGCGACCCAACGAAACCCGCCGAGGGCTGGTCAAACAACCCCCGCGCAGTTTACGGTCGTAATTAACTTGCTAGGTTATTAGCCCTCGCGTTCGCGGTTCTGTCCCCCTCCCCTCCTTTGCAGGACCGTTCGTCTCTCCGCTCTTTGCGGGGAAATCTAGGGAGCTCCACCTTGCCGGAGACGACCCTGCGCCAATTTCGATGGCGACACCCCCCGCGCCCTTCTCCCGTTCGATCACCTCGTAAATTCAAAGAGAAACCGACGCGACGCGTCGCCGGATTCGTTGCCGCGTTAAGCTGCCGAGTATCCGAGTTAAAGACCGTAAGAAAATTGAATCCGGTCGGTGGATACGGCCGTCGATCGGCGTTAATTACGAATTCGAGGAGATTACGAAACTCGTCGATCGGCGTTCCGTCGCTCGATGCCATTTCCTATCGCGTATCGGTAACGCCGCCAACGGGTATCGGCGAATTCCTGTCGCTTCGACGAAACCGAATTCGAGGATGGAAATCAAATCGTATTTGGAAATAATTGTCGATCGTTGGTTCTTTCGAAAGATCTTCCGCGGTCGTTGAAAGTTGAAATCTATAAAACGTTGAGATTTATAAAACGACGATTAGAACGGCGGCTCGATCGGCTCGATCGCGATCGTCGGCGGGAATCGATTGCCCGGGACATTGAAATGAAAATCTGCACGCGATACGCTTTCCTCCCTGGTTCGCTCGCTACTCCGTCATTTTCTAGTTACCATATAACCATTAACCTCTGGCGTCGGTGAAATATTATCGCGATAAAACGCTTTCGAGAGGAAAATCGACGTTCGCGCGATAAAACTTTGGATAACGAAAGAGACGCGAACACGCGTAGTCGACGTATTCGACGGTTTCTATTGTACGAAGAAACCTCTTGCGAAGATCCGCGAATAAAATACGAGTCGCGCGCGGCGGTAAATAATCGAGCCTGTACTCTTAGAATTTAATACTCGATTCGAAAGAACATCGCGGCTTCGTTCGCTGCGAACGGTATACGTTCGTCGATAACACCCATGCTTTCAAAATAAAACCGATCAATATTTAAATACGACAGCCTCGAAAACCGTTGCTTTTTTAATAGAAAATATTGAAATACTAAAAGCTGCACCAAAAGCTAATGGTATTCCATCGAACCGTTTTTTTTTCTGTCGTATTTTTCGAATCCGCGGCCACCGGTTATCGTCTCTCTCTCTGTAAACTCTGATTTCCATCGGTCGCTTTATCGCAGTTGGAGTAACAAGAAGATCGTTTCGAACGTTCCAAATCCCATATTAACACCTCGACGAAACGATCGTGAAACGCGTACGCGTTACGCGCCGCTGAAAATCTGTACGACGATCGTTTCCGTCGGCGACTGATCGAGATCGACCGTCGCCGAAGACTCCCTCGGATCGCGAAAGGTGTTGGTCGATCGGTCAAAGTTCCGCGCCGTGTTTCCAGGCCGGTGACCGCGGACGATCGCGAGGAAAATTGATTCGAGCCGAGGTTCGCCGCGGGAAGGTTGAATTCGCGTTTCGTGATCCGGCACTTGTGCGATCGAGCGAGCTACGCGACGCTGGACGAATTTTTGTTGATACATCGACCGAGAAAGAGAGGGAGAGAGAGAGAGTTAGAGAGGGAGAGGGAGAGAGAGCAGATCGCCGAGTCGCGGCGCGGCGCGGCGCGACAAAGAGGAAACGCTTCGGTTCGTTACACGAGCAACGCTAAACAGTCGTGAAACTCGAACGGGTCCGGGTACTGCAAATTAATTAACCAGCGACGTGCATTATTATCGAAAGCGCAACACGCGTCGGCAATGCGATCCTAATTAAATTTTCAGTCCGCGCGAGTTCATCCGGTAAATCAACATACCC